TTGAACGTGAAACATGCGTTTTCTGGATTCATGTGTGAGACCGCGTGTCTTTGGATAGTCGAGCTAAAGAAGCAACGACGAACACAGTGTAGATATATCCTCTGTTGAGTTTTTTATCAACAGGTATCCCAATTTCTTCAGGAATCTCAATCTGGATGACCTACATGATGAACTTATAGCCTACAAGACCTCATCTGACTTACCTGAGTGTTGTTAAGTTAGCTACAGTAACTGGAACAAAAGGACAGAATTACCTAAGAATGGATATTGTTTGGGAGCATCTCTCCAAGGTTAAGGATGCGTCTGGGAATTTGAAATTTCCTATTCTTTCAAAAGTAGCTAAACTGGTTCTCACTATCCCACATAGCAATGCTGATGCTGAAAGGGTTTTCAGTATGATAGGGAAAAACAAAATTAAGAGTAGGGCTGATCTGGCTCTTGAAGGCACCCTGTCATCCATAACCACATGTAAAGTAAATCAGTTCTTTGAAGTACCTTGCCATGAGTTCCGACCAAGCAAATCAATGCTAAACAATGCTAAGAAAGCAACTTGGAATTACAATAAAGCTCATAAAAATTGAGTGAAGTCTGTCTTGTAATGACTGGTCTAAGACCTCCTCAATTGTATTGGCATTATTATGGGTATTCTTTATTATAAAGAGGATGTAATATAGTTTACATGAAATAAAATGTTTTTTATTAAAGTAATATGACTAGTTAAGTCTTATATTTTAGGATATTTAAAGTTTGATAGTTAGTGAAGATATCGCCAGGAACCTCAAGCAAAATTTGAGCAAATTTGTCCAATCTCAAGCAAAATTTCAACCAATCTCCAGCAAAGTTGTTATACCCCCTTGGCAGGTCTGCCGAGACCAGGGCGGAGCTAACACACGTGGCATGGAAGGCATGGAAGCACTGATGTTGCTGGGCAGAGAATCAAGCGGTAGACAGTCCGGAGTGTACAATCAAGCAGTGTGCCGCTACCCCGTCAGATGACCTATGATGGGGAAATGTGATGGGAGAGCTTTGTGAAGCCTTTCTTGGCCCTCTCAGAGTCGTGTAGTTGGGCAGATGACAAAAAACTGTTTAGGTTAACAAACAGTCTACAAGGGGAGGCAGCAGAATATGCGTTTACACAGCTAGAGCCAGGTGCTTTAAGATCTTTTCACAAGTTAATTTCAGAACTGTCTAGTCATTTTAAAGACGATCCCTGACTTCATACTTAACCAAACTAGAATCGAAACGACTTAATCCCAAGGAAAAAGTTTCACATAACACCGCTGACATCAAGAGCTTAGTGTTAAAGTGTTACCCCCTGGCTGACCAGAAGACTAAAAATTCTATCAGTCTTTGGTATTTCCTGAAAGGTTTAACAGACCAACAGGCCGCATTAGCTGTAGGCATTAAGAATCCGACATCGATAGACGAGGCGAGAGAAGCACTAGAGATGTTTAATAGCCTCAAGGAAGAAAAGGGGAGAAAAGCACATGNTGTACAATCAAGCAGTGTGCCGCTACCCCGTCAGATGACCTATGACGGGGAAATGTGATGGGAGAGCTTTGTGAAGCCTTTCTTGGCCCTCTCAGAGTCGTGTAGTTGGGCAGATGACAAAAAACTGTTTAGGTTAACAAACAGTCTACAAGGGGAGGCAGCAGAATATGCGTTTACACAGCTAGAGCCAGGTGCTTTAAGATCTTTTCACAAGTTAATTTCAGAACTGTCTAGTCATTTTAAAGACGATCCCTGACTTCATACTTAACCAAACTAGAATCGAAACGACTTAATCCCAAGGAAAAAGTTTCACATAACACCGCTGACATCAAGAGCTTAGTGTTAAAGTGTTACCCCCTGGCTGACCAGAAGACTAAAAATTCTATCAGTCTTTGGTATTTCCTGAAAGGTTTAACAGACCAACAGGCCGCATTAGCTGTAGGCATTAAGAATCCGACATCGATAGACGAGGCGAGAGAAGCACTAGAGATGTTTAATAGCCTCAAGGAAGAAAAGGGGAGAAAAGCACATGTTCTCACGGTGCAGCAGCAACTGGAGTACGTCACCGAGAAAAGGTTGGCGGTGTATGGAAGAGAAATAAAGCAAAATATGGATGTAAAGTTTGGCGAGTTGAAGGCTCTTATTCAAGCCGAGAAACGGAGTTCTCCGCAAGCGAATTTAAAACGAAGAGAAAATCAGCAATGAAATACGATTCTACCATCACCTGGGAAAAGTGCAGTAGCAGATGACGCTTTGTCCTGTTCCTCTGCGTCACGCACATTGGCTACCAATGCAATGCATGATGATGAGGCGTTTTACAGCACCTGCAATGAAGAGAAGCACTGAAAGTGCTCTCTGTTCTGTTTTTTTTAACTCCATGGCTAAAAGGAGTCGCATTGATAGCGAATTTTCCAATGCCCCATTTGATGAATTTCGACATCATGCGGAGGCAGGTGAAAATTATGATATAGACATGCAACTTACCTTCTGCCGATCTGATGTTGTAGCGTATTGATGATGAGGCGGTAATCTTGCATTCTATCTGTGACTCTGTGGTCTGGTTGCTTGGAATGATCTGATGCTGGTGCAAATGGTGGGTGCGTTGCAATTAAGTATTAATGAGTTGACCCACGGTTGGTCAGGGGTACCCTGAGTGTTGTAAATTATTACGCAGAGCGGTCTTGGGGGACCTAAGAAAACTCAATATCGTTCCAGCTTTGCAGAGAGCAGAACATACCATGACAATGGTGAGTGGGAGCTAGATAGAAATATTTTTCTAAAAATCTGCAGACTTTGGGGCAAGCCTGAGATTGATTTGTGTGCATCTAGAATAAACAATAAAGTGAGTCTCTACTACTCATGGAAACCAGATCTAGATTGTATGGAGGTGGATGCATTAACAGTTTCTTGGGCCCATAAATTTGTCTATGCCTTCCCACCTTTTTGCATGATGGGCAAAGTTTTACAAAAAATGAAAGTGGAAGGTGTGACAGGTATCATAATTTTTCCCTTATGGCCTACTCAGCACTAGTATTCCTTGCTGGGTTCAATGCTTATTGATTTCCCTGTTTCTCTCTTTCACAGGGACAGGTCAGTATCGGTCATCCATCACCCTCTCTTGAATGCCCAAGATCATCTTCCCAAGATCAGGCTTGCAGCAGCACTTTTTTCTGGCAGACGCCATGCACAGCAGAACTTTCAGAGACATGCCCACCTCTAGCCCTCCCAAATCTCTCCATTTCTTTTTCCCTTGTACCAATAAACAAGCTTTAAATTTTGCATTCTGGGTAGATATGCGTGCGCATCTCATGTAATCTCCATTTCGTCAGCTGATAAGTAGAATTCTCATCAAACTTCAACTTACAGGTAAGTTTTGTTTAATTTTTGAAATATAAAGCCGGGTGTGGAGTGCTACGAGTGTCATAATGTTGGACACTTCGCAAGAGATTGCCCTCACAAACGTGTCTAGAACCAAGACCTTTAAACAAGGTGTTAAAAAGGGAAAGATACCAATTACTGGTAATAGAGGAGATCCTGCCAGACTTGGCGAATGCCAAAATATTCACAAGACTGACCTGTCCCAAGGTTATTGGCAGGTATCTTTGGATGAAGAGTCAAGCAAATTAACCACATTCCAAACACCATTTGGCAGATATAGGTGGCGCAGACCCTTTGGTCTAAATGTAAGCTCAGAGCTATTTCAGAAAAAACTCAACAATGCTCTAGACAGACTCGAAGGTGGTGTGTGTATAGTGTGTGTATTATCATTTATGGTGTATGTGACACCGAGGACAAGGCCTTGAAAGATCACGATAAAAAAACTTAGAGCCCTGTTAGCAAGATGCCTGGAGATTGGGATCCAGTTAAATGCAGAAAAATCTGAGATAAGAGCAAAAGAGATCTCCTTTCTGGGCCACAAGGTCACAAACAATGGACTAAAGGTAGACCCAGAAAAGGTAGAAGCCATATTGAAGTGCAAAGATTCTGTGGCTAGATCAACTATGTCTCTACAGGAACTAACAAAACAAGACGCCGAGTGGGCATGGTCACCAATACATGATAAAGCATTTACAGAAGTAAAGAGACTTGTCACAGAAGCGCCTTAGCCAGCATACTACAATCCTAAAGATGAGCTTATCATTCAGTGCGATGCAAGTGAGAAAGGCTTAGGAGCAGTGTTACTCCAGAACGGATGCCCAATCACAAACGCCAGTCGTGCACTGACTGACACATGTACTCATTACACTCAAATCGAGAAAGAGATGCTTGCCATAGTTTATTCTCTTGGGAAATTTCACCAGTACACTTGTGGACGGCGTACCATGGTGAATAGTGACCATAAGCCATCACTAGTGGGCTAGATTTGGTCTTAAAGTGCAATTTAAGTTCACAAGTGATCTTACACGATCTTAATCATTACAGCAGTAGTCTTAAAATGGACTGAATCTACTTTTAAGATCAAAAATGATCTAACATCTACTTAAGTGGTCAAGCAGTTTCCTCCCCTCACAATGGGGGATACCTCCCCTCACAATAGAGGACACCTCTGCTCACAATAGGAGAATGTGTAAGGGGAGACAACTTAATTGGCTGTCAGACTAGAAATGGTCTTACTCATGTTTTAAGATCATGTAAGACTATTTGTGTTCTTAAATTGCATTTTAAGACCAAATCAAGCCCACTAGTGCATTGGAAGCAATAATGAAAAAAACACTGCAGTGTGTCCAGGTAGCTTCCAGAAGCTGAGCGCGCACAAAATTCAGTTACCCCCTTGCTGCTCAAGGAGACATGCTAGACTAATAATCTGATTGCATTCAGCAAAAGTCCCCATGGATTACCTAGGTCAACGTAACTCATTCTGAAAAGTCCCTCTGTCTCTAAAGAGCTGTGGTGTGTCCATTTACTATTTATATTTCTTTGTATTTTTTATTTTTGTCTATTTATATATTTATTTATTGATTGATTTTTTTGTGGGGGGGGGGGGCAGGAAAGAGTGGTATTTCAAAATTTCAATTTCTAAGTTTGTTTCAATTAGTCTCTTTATGCGCACTATAGTTTAACCTTAAACATCAAATTATACTAAAATCAAATAGTTGAAAGCACATTTAAAATTGGAGGTCGTCTTTATGGAGCCATTTGCAGATAGCAATAGAAATCTTTAGGCTGGAAGCAATTAAACTACATCAGTGCAATTTTTAGAAGTGGTCACAGACAGTGCACAGAACAAAGGGGTCAAAGGTATGCACACGTTAGTTCTAAAACATGCAATCAGTTTCAAATATGGTGATCAAAAACACCCACAAGTACTTATACTCTCTTCGCTATTTACAAGCACATACACTGTATCTTTTCTTTTTTGAGCATGGGGGAATCACTCCTAAATATGCATGAGATGGACATCTTATCAGCTGTCCATTTTTTCATCACTTATTTGATCTTCAACATTATCTGTATCTAATCCATTTGCAAAGTTTGGTTGTTCTTCAGAACTTGCTTGTTCTTTAGAACTTCCACTTATGTCTCTGGGCACACTACTGGGTGTGGAGTATATAACTTTCCTTGACAATCTCATTTTTCCTGACACTGGATCTCTTCCAAAGTACTTCACACTTATTTCTTGTCCTACTTCTAAACCTAAGACACTTGGATGTTGTATCTGCAACATAAAAAGAATCAAATGTCAATATTTAAACTTAAATGAACAGTAAAAACTTACTAAAAATTGTTTCAGTGTTGCAGATCAGCTAAGATTTACAAAAAAAAGTGACAAGTAAATTCTATTAAAGGATTAATAGTCTACTGATAAAAAACTTGAAAATGAGTGTTAGGCATATGTCAATACAAAAGATAAATATAAATTTTATCAACTATAATGACCATATAAGACATAAAAAAAGGTTGCCACAAGATAACAAGAATAGGCCAGAAAAATTTTACAGCCATAACTCTCTCTTTCCACATGGAGAAATAAGGGTGAACATTCTTATTTTACTTCGAATCATAGTTCCACATTTTTTTCAAAGACCACTTGGGTATAATTATTATATTTTCTTCACATGGCATTTTACTTCAAGGAAATGATGTCAATTACTTTCTTGTAACTGTTTTTCTTTTAAGAAATATTATAATAAGTTTTGCAATAAATGGCTTTCCTGTTATTTTGTGATCCAACTGTATACACACTTTATCTTTTGGTGCATGGTTATTTACTCACCTTCCGTTTTGTAAGCTGAGAGTTATGTAGTAAGGCTGGTTCCAGCATTGGGTGTATTTGTACCAACACACCATTATTCCTAAATGATAATAATAATTATAATTATAATATCTAGAAAAGCACTCAGAGATTGCAGACCTCCGACAGGTGTAAGAGTATCAGTTTTCTGTCTAAGCAAGGTCATCAATCCATGCCTTACACTTTGTCCAAGAAGTGCAAATGCAAGAGGTTATATCCCAGTTCGCAAATAATGTATGTGAGGTGTACTGCCATTGAAATAGGTCACAGAAATAATTATCACTGCTTGGAAAGCTGTTTCACCAGTACACCCCCCCCAAATCTAACCATTTCTTCCTTAGTCCATTTGTGACCAATCCTGAAATTTTATCAGAATCTGCCTTTGTTTTTTTTTAATAATGCTGTTAACAGACAAATTAAGAATCTGCAAAACATAAACTCCTTGTTGGAGGTAATAATAAATGTAATTCTATTTGGTTGAGTGAAGTGAATAAAAATAAAAATTTTCTCCTAGGGTTCGACACTGTATATATTGTGTTAGTTGTGTTATTGGTAAGAATTGTGGGTAAGTTACGATAGTTGTTCAATCGACCAGTTAGCGCAGACCAGTTGACAAGTAAACTTTCGAGCGCATCTTTTTCAATGGAGTCAGAGGGCGTTTCCTTAAAACAAATACTAGATTCTGTGCAGTCGCAGGCAGAATCTATAAGACTTAAAGGTTCAAATAACTTCTGAGTTGGAAAGCTTAAAAAGTGAAGTACACCGTTCATCTGACAAAGTTAAAAAGATTAAGACTGAAATTTCTACCAAGTGGTGTCAAGAAGAGCAATTGACGCAGGTAATTTGGGCAGTAGACAATAACAAGCCTGATTACGCTAAAGAAGTTGCCTTTACTATTTCTGATAAGCTAAAGAAGAGGAATAAGCTTATTAGACTGGCTGATTCCAGTGAAGGAGGGTGGGGCACTGTCCGCTTTTATGAAGCTAATCCTTAGGCCATTTGAAGATTTTCGTACTGCTATGTTGTATTTAAAACAGGGAGATTTTTGTTTCAAATCTGATTTACATTCTGCATATCATCACATTGATATTTTCGAGTCTCACACTTATTTTTTTCTTGGAAACATTTCTGTTGTCAACAGACCAAAATGACCGTCTATTTATCTAGAGACACATCTGTGAATATCTGTGGAAAATCAATCTGTTGCCCTGGTTGTTCCTAAAGTTGAAAAATCAATGTGGTCTCCTAGTACTGAGAATTTATTTTTAGGGTACAATTTGAATTTAGAGAAAGGCACTATTTCTATTCCTGATTACAGACTTCTTAAAATTTTTCAGACTATAACGGATATCCATTCTTTGTTTAGAAGAAAAGGCAGCGTTCATGTGCATTTAGTTGCTAGTTTAGTAGGTCAGATCATCTCTACGTCTTTTGTTACTGGCAATATGGTTTATATTATGACAAAATGTCCGAGTTTTGATATTTTGGGATGACTTCCCTAGGTATGGGAAAGATGAGCTTGGAAGAGCTGTTGGGGTGTGATATCCTGGTGATTCCCTAGTTAAGGGAAAGATGAGCTTGAAAGAGCTGTTTTGGATGTGATATCCTGGTGATTCCCTAGGTAAGGGAAAGATGAGCTAAGAAGAGCTGTTGGGATGTGAAATCCCAGTGATTCCCAAGGTAAAGGGAAAGATGAGCTCAGAAGAGCTGTTTTGGATGTGATATCCTGGTGATTCCCTAGGTAAGGGAAAGATGGACTTTGAAGAGCTGTTTGGAATGTGATATCCCAGTGATTCTCTAGGTAAGGGAAAGATGAGCTTGGAAGAGCTGTTTGGGATGTGATATCCTGGTGATTCCCTAGGTAAGGGAAAGATGGGCTCTGATGAGCTGTTTGGGATGTGATATCCTGGTGATTCCCTAGGTAAGGGAAAGATGAGCTCAGAAGAGCTGTTGGGATGTGAATCCCGGTGATTCCCAAGGTAAGGGAAAGATGAGCTCAGAAGAGCTGTTTGGGATGTGATATCCTGGTGATTCCCTAGGTAAGGGAAAGATGGGCTCTGAAGAGCTGTTTGGGATGTGATATCCTGGTGATTCCCTAGGTAAGGGAAAGATGAGCTCAGAAGAGCTGTTGGGATGTGAATCCCGGTGATTCCCAAGGTAAGGGAAAGATGAGCTCAGAAGAGCTGTTTGGGATGTGATATCCTGGTGATTCCCTAGGTAAGGGAAAGATGGGCTCTGAAGAGCTGTTTGGGATGTGATATCCTGGTGATTCCCTAGGTAAGGGAAAGATGAGCTCAGAAGAGCTGTTGGGATGTGAATCCCGGTGATTCCCAAGGTAAGGGAAAGATGAGCTCAGAAGAGCTGTTTGGGATGTGATATCCTGGTGATTCCCTAGGTAAGGGAAAGATGGGCTCTGAAGAGCTGTTTGGGATGTGATATCCTGGTGATTCCCTAGGTAAGGGAAAGATGAGCTCAGAAGAGCTGTTGGGATGTGAATCCCGGTGATTCCCAAGGTAAGGGAAAGATGAGCTCAGAAGAGCTGTTGGGATGTGATATCCCGGTGATTCCCAAGGTAAGGGAAAGATTAGCTCAGTAGAGCTGTTGGGATGTGATATCCCAGCGATTCCTTTTTATATTTAAAAGGGAGAGATGATTCAGAGGTTTGGTGAGGAGAGGGTCTCCTCATGTTTATAATTTATCTAATTATTGAAGATGATTTGAAAACTTGTGCGCTAACTGCGTCCATATGCACTTTATATGTTGTTTGTGTTGTTTTATTCTTAATGTTATATGCAGTGTCGGATCTTGTCTTGGAGAATGGTACCAACTGACAAAACCTGTTCAAAAACAGTAATGAAAACCATAGCTTAACTTTAAAAGAGAGAGGGGGGAATCAATTAACCAGTCTTATAAAAAAGTCACTTGCTCCCAATTTTTTTGACTGACCTCAAAGTGCTCATAAACATGCAATTTTACAAAGTGTTTAGTACTATTAAGTCTTACCTTACTTCCACAATTTTGGCAGTATAAACAGCAGAAAACTCTAGATCTGGTTCTTTCTAGAAAAAATAAATAACATATTTCAGAAATTTTCCTAAATCAGTGGTATTTCTTTCCTCTAACACTTCAGAAAAGGTATCGACTGTAACAATTACTTTCTATCCAGCAAGAACTACCCGAACATATCATTTGCTTTATTTTCTGTGCCTTTCATTTCAGTTAATTGCAGGGCATTTGCTTTCAAATCACAAGTCAACGATTTAGATCTCAACTTGATTAATTTAAAATAAGCACAGTTACTAATATTGTAGTACAGTATTTTCACTCAAAGAAAACCAATCTTTCCCTTTCCTACCTTTTTTCTGCATTTTAAAATCACTTTTTTGACCCTTGCAAAAGACTCTACAGAATGAAAGTGAGATTATAGATTTTCATTTATCATGACAACACAGCAAAACTTACAGAACTTTTCAGCTGTTTGTCTATCATTTCTTTGGTCTCTTCCATGGCATCTTTATTAGGGGCAAATAATTGAAAAGTTGTCTCATCAACACTTGAAACTGTTATACCTGGAAAAAATATGTATACCTACACTACCAAAAACACTGCTTGTACTGAGGTCAGCATATAAGTAAAATGTTTCAATTTCAAATCAAACTATCATGAGAATCAGTAAAAAAGAAATTATGCAATAATCATAACCCCATAGAGCCTGACAGCATCTGACCTACAAAGTGCCCATGGTCCGGAGCCAACTACATGGGTGCTTTCAATTTTACAGGCGGCCTCATTTAATCAATGATAATATATTCATTTGTCTAGAAAACACCTAAGAACTGTACATTTTAAGAAAGCCAAGTATGTCAGCCACCTTTGCCATTGTTGGAGTATCAAAATCTATCACGGATTCTTCCCCGAAGTCTGAATTTTATAACAATTCTAGAACATTTCTCTCATCCCATAACTTCTGTTGACCTCTCATCGCCATTTTGACTTCTTAGCACCTCGACAAGGGTTGAAGTAAATTGCTTTTCCATTATCTAATACTCGTCAAATGCCTTTTAAAAGCTGGTAGTAAACAAAGACCATCAGGTTACTCTTGTGATGGAAGCATGAATTGTTACAAACGACAGGGGAAAGTACGAGCATGTAAACACAGAAACTACGTTTTGGTGGTTGCCAGCACTGGGGATTTTTTTTAATGAACCGCATATGTGTGGTTTTCTGGCGCTATGGGGTTAAATAATTCTTAAAAACAATGACATTTCCATTGCTCAATTTAGAATAATCTATCTGATAAAAAAGGGGCATTTCAGGGACTCAAGTTGCACATTATACTTAATCCTTTCTTGCATTTTATTCAGAGCAATTAAGTTTTAACTTGATAACTATACAGTGAAGCTAGCAAACACATACCCTGAGCTTCAGAGATAACTTGAAACAAACTTCTACACTATAGCAACCCTTGCTGTTTCAAGTTACCTCTGACCAGATTCATTTTGACCTAGTTTATTAAATCAATCAATTTCATGTTTTCAAGATCTTTCTCCAAAGTTTGGTGAAAACACTGATTGGATAGAAGTCTAGAAATATATCCAATGAGACAAGGGCAATGCATGTGTTTGTTTTCTGGTGCAGCAAAATATATCTTTGTTGCCTTTTCTGAATTTGAACAAACCATGCTTTAACTCATTTTTGTTTATTGGCTAGATCCTTCAATGGGTCATTTGGGGCAGCCTTTAAACTTGAGTGGTGGGCAACCAGGCCTAAGGAATCTGGTCAGAGGTAACTTGAAACAGCAAGGGTACTGTATGCTATACAGTAGAGGTTTATTTCAAGTTATCTCTGAACCTCAGGGTGGCAAACAAACAGACACTTCCAAGAAAAGTCATTCCCATTACTCCACTGTCATATGAACAGACAAATTCCAGTGAACTAAGAAAAACATTATCCAACTTTGAAATATTTAGTATGCAACATTTACATTGCAAAAAAAAGCCACATAGGTTACACAAAAATATGGCACTAAGTGTGAAAATTGAAAATTCAACTTCCAATTTGCATAACATCTAAACAAGTGTATCAAAGGAATAAAATTTAGACTTATTCTGTTGTGAAAAAAATAAATGACCTTCACACAACTTAAATATGGATGACACAACTGTATCACAACAATGTTGGTGCAACAAGTTGCATAAAACAATGATACAAAAAAATGTATACAAGTGACCACCAAGTCCACATTTTACCATTATGGAGTGGACACTTTTATAAGCTATGAAGTGCCCAAATATTTAGAGTGCTAAAACTGAGAACAGCAAGAGCCTCAGGTACTATTATTCCCTGAGTCTTGTCAACTTTTAAGTAATTTTGTGATTTTATCAAATGAATCCAAAAATTTCAATACCAATGCATTACTTGAAAATGTTTCAGAAAAGGTTGTAATAATGTCCAATATGTCTTTCTTAGAATTATCACTTGTAGTATTATAAATGCATCATCCATATTTTGGTTGTAAATATATTATTATTATTATTATTATTATTATTATTATTATTATTATTATTGAGCAGAACAAAAAGACATTTACAATGTCTGCATATAATCTTCTTTCAAAAAATGCTCACCTGTTTCAGACCTTAATTTTTTTATATTGTATCCCCCAGGACCTACAAATTTTGCTCTTTTGGACAAGGGTATCTCCAATTTTTCTGAAAAAAAAAGACAAGGGTAAAATAACAGATACTGGATGGAGTCTTCAGAATTACATGAACTGCCAAAAAATGTATGCATTTAATCAAAAAATACAATAGTAAAATAAACTGAATTTTAAAAACTATCCCCAAAATGCCAAAGAAAAATTCAAACACAAAAAGGGGACTTGCAAGCCTGTAGAACTAAGCTTACCAGTAACAGGAGCATTTTCCTTTTTCTGTGACCTGTATGTTGGGAGGGTCTCAGCCATGATGTCCAAAAGTTTTTTAATTGCAACCTGTGCTTCATCCGTTGCTTCAATCATCACATCTGTAGGAAGACCAGGTGTTTTGACATCTGCCTAAAGTTTAAAAAAACATGTATATATTCACATCAACATTTTATTTGTCAATTTACTTTTGCTACACAATTCACTTCAATTTAAAGGGTTAACAACTGTTCATTTTGGACAAATAAATAAAGTTTCTAATATTCCCATACTTAACAGTGGTTAATGAATCCGTTCCATCTTCAAAGTTAGTCCCTTTTTCTTCTAGAAAGTTTTGTCTTTTGTAAAAAATCTCTTAAGACATTATTACAGAGGGTAGCTAGCCATCTATGGAGGTTACATGGTTCAATGGCATGCACCGATCCCAGAATAATTGCGATGACCACCATTTTGGTGGCAAAATACAACTTATTATATTTCTATGTGTTGTTTACAATGTAATTATTGTGAAATATGGATCTCATACAAAGAGTTGTTATCCCTTTAAATGGTTTTTATAATTCTAACTTCATTTCACTACTCACATATGGGGTCTTGAAAGCATATTCTAATGCTAAACTTCACACTTAAAGTGGTGCTGTCAACACAACTGAGACATAAATGAAGATAAATTGATAAATTATAATTATTTTTTGTGGCATCAATATCCCTTTTCAAGGCCCTACAATATTTATCTAAAAATGTACTATTCTTTTTTTTTATTTATGCCCCTTTTTTCATCAGTCAATTGATTTATACTTTACCTGTATAGCTGTGACACCAAACTTTGTGCCTGCCATCTTAAAGTCCATATCACCCATATAATCTTCTATGCCCTGTGCAAAAAAGACAAAAGTTAATTAAAAAAGAAATCAGACATCTTATTATGTTACCCCTTTTAAAATAAGTCATCAAATCATGATTTAATTATGTGCAATTTAGTTTAAATTGCAAATTTCATCAATGGAAAAAATCTATTCCCAATACATAATCCATCAGATAATGGAACAAATTCAGAATTCATGGTTAGAAAATGGAGACTTCATCCTTCATCCTATAAAACATTTTAATTCATAAGCTCAACCTCTAACAATCTAAAATCTTTACTTGTGAACCTACTACTAAGTCTGTAAGTAAACAGTGCTTCTCATCTTGTCCTGTTTGTTCCTTGCTGTCTTCATTAAGATCACTGGATGCATCATCACCTTTATAGTTTGTGAATACACCAATAGCTACCCCTGCAGCAGGTTCAGATATAGGTACTCCTTAGAGGTGAATAAAAACCAACTATTGTAACATGATTTATTGGTGTAGGAAAATGTTGTATATGCAATATGAAGGAATTTAATCAGTTGTATGCATTGGCTTTTGTTCCTAGAATCTACCATGGCACAAATAACCAAAATGATTCAAATACAGTGTGATGGAAAGAAACTGCTAGTGTACAAACACAACATAAATTGACCATGACACCAAGAACATCAGATTATGCAAGAAATCTCAAAACAACAAGATTATTTTTTCACAACAGTACACCTTTTTCTTACAAAGACATGAGCTTGGTGTATCAGAGAATAAACAGTTGTAGGTGTACCTGCATCCATTAAAGCCAGACTACCCCCACAGACAGTGGCCATAGATGAAGATCCTAAAGAGGAATGAACATCAAATTAGCATTATGTAACAAAAATTAGGATTTTCAATTTAAACACATTTGTATTATATTAGCAATAAACATTAATTTTCTCAAAAAGTGTTCAAATTTCCCACATGCTATGCACGTTATACATTCTAATTCTGCATTTTTGTTTTCTTTAAGTTACAAGCTAGACATGCAAAACTTTTATGTCCTTGCTTTTTATATATAGACACATCTGTATCTGTATATATAGCCATTACCTGCATCCATCATCACTTTTGCCATGCAATTTCAGGAATAACACCATTGTCTTTAAACTTACAGAGCTAATGAATATTTAATAATTACAGGTAGGGTTAAAAAATCAGCTTGCCTAGACCATTTTTTGAAAAATTATGCTGCTTTTTTCTGAATATATTATACTACATGCAACACAGATAACACATCTGAAGAAAGAAAGACAAGCCTATTGTCTTCAAACTTATAGGAATGATCAATGTTATTAAAATACAGGTCAATTTAAAAAATCAGCTTGATTGGATTATTTTTATGCAGGTTATTTTCCGGCAATTTTGTTACTATGTGCAAGACATAAACCACATTTCATGGAAAACCATTTGAATGATTGTCTTCAAACTTTAAGGACTGATGAACATGACACAGATAGAGGTCAAATTTGAAAAACAGCCTGACAGAATCCGTTTTTTTTTGTTTTTTTTTTTTGCAAAATGTTCATTTTCAAGGTGTGACTCTGAACTCTATTGGCCCTGAAGCCTTATGCTAGTTTCATATTCATAACATGAGTTTTACCTGTTATGCATAATTAAAATTTGGTGTTGACTTTGCTATTGAGCATAATGTGTTTTGCATCCAAAACTGGCAAAATAACCTATTTTGTACATCGTTATTTTCTGCTTTTTATCTGTACATTTGACAGCTTTACTGCCTTATTTCCTCTAGAAATCAGCTAGATGATAATGATGTTCTTACCATTTGATTCAAGGACTTCTGAAGTAAGTCTTATTGTGAAGGGATAGTCTTCTGGTAGTACAGTTCTCAATGCTTTTTCTGCCAGGGCACCTGTGGACATTATATACATTTAAGCTATCCCTAAACAATGTCCATCTTTTTCAAATATAACAATTCCCATTAAACATGCTAATATTCTTTATACGAGTACAAACTGTTAAATTATTAAATGATCTTTTAATTAAAATGCAAATTAGAAAAAAAAATATTGAGTTCAAAATTTCCCTACCATGACCAAGCTCTCTTCTGTTAGCTACACCTTGTTTGCCAGTTTCATTGGTTGCATATGGAGGAAACTGAAAATACCATTATCAAACTGCCCAACTGTTGTTGGAAAAAATGTTGCCAGCATAAGACCCAATTAAGTCCATAAATATATAACTGACAGGAATGATCAACATAAATGTTCTCAAAGTAGTTTAAATACTGATTCAGGTAAAACAAATTCACGATCTAGTTACTTACAGCATCAAAAATGAAATTGGTGTTCCAGAATTTAAAAATCACCCATTGTTTTACCATACCTCATAATGCAGCATGAAATTCTTCTCAGCCAGCCCCCTGTAAGACAATTACAACAGGTAATTGACAGAATAAATACACGGATTTGACAAGGGTCTAAATATTGCAATTTTAACATTGAAATACCCATTTATAAGCAATTTATGTTAATATTTCGCTCTTAAATGGGCTTTTCAATGTCAAAATGAATGCCATAGTATTACTATGTGATATGAGTCATTGTTCTGGAACACGGACCTGACCACCAAATTTTTAAAGATATTACAGAAAGCTATTTACACCCATATATGATATATACCAGTAAATTGCAGCATTAAATGCAGTAAAATGTGAAGTGCTATAACTATCCTGTCACGATCCAAGCCCCTTCCATCAGGCATGCATTTAATGATGAGGGATTTCAAAGTGTGCACAGAGTTTTACTGAGAGCTTTTGTTATTCTGTGGCACACATTTTCCTTATCCATTAATTAATCACAAGACAAGCAAAATACTAACTCTACTAAGGAGTTCTCAAGCTCACCCTGTTAACACAGAAATTGGATCCACTTTGGCTGCTGATTCCAGGGAATCAAATGTCACTGTACATAGCACCTGGAAATGTGTTGTAAGAAGGGTTCCATATCATTCAGTTACTCAATATAAACTCATTAATGTTATTATTATTATCGAAAGAACCAATTCGATTAGATCTTTAATTTTGCAATATCTATATTGTCAGGAACAATATCTAGAATGTTCTGCATAACTTCAGTTCACTAGGTTGTTTTTCACTATTTATTATTCATCTTAACATGCTACATAAGATAAATCTATTAAAGACTGTAACAACTACTAGGCATTATATTACAACTATTATATGAGAAAAATATATTTCATATTTAGACCAATTCAAGGTATCAAAATTATAATTCAGCCTATAGTTATAAGAAGTAAATGCTTCCAAATCCCTGTTGTGACTATAGCAATAGCAATAATCAATAAATAAATGATTAAATAAACAATTAAAAGAAGACACTTAGTTTTTAATTTTTTGACATTTTCAACATTGAAATGGTTGGAAATTAAGATTCTACAGTCTTGTTTTAGTTATTTATATTTTAAGTAATTAAAAGCATAAATCCAATGGAAGAGATTTATGCATTTCTTACTTGTGTCTGTCCTCTCTGAAATAATGCTGAACCATGCAAAGGTTTGAACAGGTCTACCTGACAGCTAACAGGACGCATGTCACTCAACTGCCGGCCATCACACCTTTTTGAAAGTTAAATGAGAAATTATATCTAACACAAAAGTGCAGTTCATCTACTCAAAAATAAGACACAGCTACTGAAACTTAAGGGACAGAAGGCATATCAAACACAATACTATAAAGCTTGTCATCAATAATGGAAAAAATAGAATTCCATTGTTTTGCTGTAAAAACTGAAAATTTCAATTAACTTTTCACACACATCCTTCCCTACTAAAAAACCTCTGTATCATAGGATATATTTCAAACCACAGACTGACAAATGGTTAAAAAGATTATAAAAACAGAATATTACAGATGAGAAAGTGTGAATGGATTTTATCTCTTCAATATGAACTGAGACTATATTATCCATGCACTTTTGTGACAAAAGTCGGAGATAATGTTATCNTTCAAAATTTCCCTACCATGACCAAGCTCTCTTCTGTTAGCTACACCTTGTTTGCCAGTTTCATTGGTTGCATATGGAGGAAACTGAAAATACCATTATCAAACTGCCCAACTGTTGTTGGAAAAAATGTTGCCAGCATAAGACCCAATTAAGTCCATAAATATATAACTGACAGGAATGATCAACATAAATGTTCTCAAAGTAGTTTAAATACTGATTCAGGTAAAACAAATTCACGATCTAGTTACTTACAGCATCAAAAATGAAATTGGTGTTCCAGAATTTAAAAATCACCCATTGTTTTACCATACCTCATAATGCAGCATGAAATTCTTCTCAGCCAGCCCCCTGTAAGACAATTACAACAGGTAATTGACAGAATAAATACACGGATTTGACAAGGGTCTAAATATTGCAATTTTAACATTGAAATACCCATTTATAAGCAATTTATGTTAATATTTCGCTCTTAAATGGGCTTTTCAATGTCAAAATGAATGCCATAGTATTACTATGTGATATGAGTCATTGTTCTGGAACACGGACCTGACCACCAAATTTTTAAAGATATTACAGAAAGCTATTTACACCCATATATGATATATACCAGTAAATTGCAGCATTAAATGCAGTAAAATGTGAAGTGCTATAACTATCCTGTCACGATCCAAGCCCCTTCCATCAGGCATGCATTTAATGATGAGGGATTTCAAAGTGTGCACAGAGTTTTACTGAGAGCTTTTGTTATTCTGTGGCACACATTTTCCTTATCCATTAATTAATCACAAGACAAGCAAAATACTAACTCTACTAAGGAGTTCTCAAGCTCACCCTGTTAACACAGAAATTGGATCCACTTTGGCTGCTGATTCCAGGGAATCAAATGTCACTGTACATAGCACCTGGAAATGTGTTGTAAGAAGGGTTCCATATCATTCAGTTACTCAATATAAACTCATTAATGTTATTATTATTATCGAAAGAACCAATTCGATTAGATCTTTAATTTTGCAATATCTATATTGTCAGGAACAATATCTAGAATGTTCTGCATAACTTCAGTTCACTAGGTTGTTTTTCACTATTTATTATTCATCTTAACATGCTACATAAGATAAATCTATTAAAGACTGTAACAACTACTAGGCATTATATTACAACTATTATATGAGAAAAATATATTTCATATTTAGACCAATTCAAGGTATCAAAATTATAATTCAGCCTATAGTTATAAGAAGTAAATGCTTCCAAATCCCTGTTGTGACTATAGCAATAGCAATAATCAATAAATAAATGATTAAATAAACAATTAAAAGAAGACACTTACTTTTTAATTTTTTGACATTTTCAACATTGAAATGGTTGGAAATTAAGATTCTACAGTCTTGTTTTAGTTATTTATATTTTAAGTAATTAAAAGCATAAATCCAATGGAAGAGATTTATGCATTTCTTACTTGTGTCTGTCCTCTCTGAAATAATGCTGAACCATGCAAAGGTTTGAACAGGTCTACCTGACAGCTAACAGGACGCATGTCACTCAACTGGCGGCCATCACACCTTTTTGAAAGTTAATTAAGAAATTATATCTAACACAAAAGTGCAGTTCATCTCCTCAACTAAAAAAGACATCTACTGAAACTTAAGGGACAGAAGGCATATCAAACACAATACTATAAAGCTTGTCATCAGCAAAGAAGAAAAAAAGAATTCCATTGTTTTGCTGTAAAAACTGAAAATTTCAATTAACTTTTCACACACATCCTTCCCTACTAAAAACCTCTGTATCATAGGATATATTTCAAACCACAGACTGACAAATGGTTAAAAAAATTAAAAAAACAGAATATTACAGATGAGAAAGTGTGAACAGATTTTATCTCTTCAACATGAACTAAGACTATATTATCCATGCACTTTTGTGACAAAAGTCGGAGATAATGTTATCTCCCACATACATTTGTCCATCCATGCATTTGTAATTTCAGTAACTTCTCTTAAACCACTGGACTGAAATACTTGAAACATTAGGGTTTGATAGACCTATTATCTGCACATGGGCCTTTGGGTATTGAAATCAAACTGGGTATGGGGCTGTATTGAGTGGGTGGATGATTCTATTCTTTCACATAAAAAATTACTCCACCAATACTTTAAAATAGCCAGGTAAACAGATTTCTTAAGGTTTTCATTATGAATAATCATTACCCAAGCAGTGACATAAATATCCAAATATAAATATCTACTCTTGACACAAGTCAAAGTGCAAGGATAAACAATGGCTACCCAGCTACAATGTTTAGTCACTAAAGTAATATCTTAGAAACAAGAATTCAATTTTCTTTTCAATTTCAAATGTGTCACATAAATTGATGATAAATCCTCTGAACTGACCTTATGTTCTGTTCAAGAACTATATTTCTGAATATGTCCTTACAAACTTGGTTAAAAGTTTCATGAAGAGTTACTGGTGAAGCTTCTTTATAAATATCTAAAAAAAGAAAAGTTTGAAAAACTGATGTGAATGTATGTTACTCTTAATATTAAACATCTGCTAGTTCAATTAATATTTGCAAAAAAAAAAAAAAAGAACTAAATAGTTTTAACTGAAACAAAAAATGATGAAATATCACTAAGAAATTGGTACCATGTACATATTACTTAGTAAATTAAAATTTGGTAACTTGATAATAAATCAGATTATATCCATTAAATTCACACTGTAAATATGTGTTGGAATTAAGAAATAACATAAACAGAAGACCCCACTAAACCCCTTTATAAGTGACTGATTACCACAACAATATGGTTATGCCACAGTTACTACTTGTATCAATGATTCAGATAACTTTTCTGATTACAATACATAATCAATTAGGTATAGAGTAAATTCATAAAATTTACTTGAGATGGAGGATACATTGATACCTTGCATAGCTCTGACAGTTTGATATCTGACATCATTGACCGCCTTATCTCTTGAAAACTGAAAATCAAACCAGACCATGTATCAAGACAGGCACTTCCCTTTTCTTAGAGGACTATTTTAAATCACAACTGAATTGGTCAACAACCACATTATAAAAGCACAACAAGTGTCCATAGCAAGATAACTTCTGGTAATCAACTGGAACTCACTGCTTGGATGGCAAGCTATGAAACCTACAACTTTAAGTTCAGTTCTGAATGATTACAATAAGACTGCTGCCATCTGACATGCATACTGAGTAAAAAAAAGTTGCAGATCAATGTATCTTCATTATCGAAGTCACTCACATGCTCACAAGGCTAAGTTTGAGTTACAAATTGCCTTTTGGTGAGTGAGTGAAAATAAGAATATAGAAATCATGTATAACTGAATTAAGTGAGGTGCCTGAAAAAAATGAGAAATAAATAAAGAAAAATCTTATTTTTTCCTTACCTTATTGTGACTGCTGTCAGTAAAAATTCCATGTAATTTTTGTTCTGCTATACTAAAATAAAATGTGAAAGTTTTTTTTTTTCATTTAAATATTGATGTTCTTTCCATCAAAAAGCTTACTTACAAACTTATTCTTACAAAACATCATTAAGATGCCATGCATTGTACACCAAATATAAGAAAAAGTATTTTGTACCTCTATTTAACGTAACATATGTATACTGAGTTGTACTAAGTAATGGTACTAATTTGAAATGGTAGACAACCAATTGAACAGATGCTAACTGCTGGTTCACATAGATCAAACATTATACTTAAAACATCTTTATTCATACAGATCAACCATACTTAAAATTTATCAAAATAGTAACACATGGTAATCCCCAAATCTTACACTTTTAGGGTATCACGCATCTCCTGAGGGATGATATCTTCAGATGGAATAACAATTGGCTTTTTCTTTTTTCCAAAATTTTTCTGCAATGTCCTAAGCTCCGCTAGGATTGGTCTGACCTTTTCCACTCCTAGGTGTACAGCATTTTTGAAAAGTCCATATGGAAGAAC